GGGGCTCCGGGCAGGGGTCCACCTCTCCCAGGGGCCCGGCAGGGGTCCGGCTCTGCCTGCTGCTCTGGAAAGGCACTCTGCCTTGGAAGGGCGCTCGTGCTAACTGAGCCCCTGCTACGCCCAGGCCTGGGAGCTCCCGAGGGACCCAGGGAGGTGGCAGCTCTGCCCCTCGGGGCTCCGATGGAGGGTAGGCTGCGCCATTCCTGCGGCCCCTCCCCCTTGGGCTCGCCCTGGCAAACCAAGCGGTAAAGAGTGGGGACCTGTGTGGGGGACCCAAGAATTGGAACCAGATGCAGACTTGCCAGGACCCCTGCAAAGTGGAAATGCAGGGCTGTGTTTAAAGTCCACTAAGCGTTCCACGACGGCGGCAGAGCAGTGGGGGCACCCGCAGGCATTCCCAGGCCAGCCTCCGTGCTGCCCTCCCTTAGAGCCAGCCCGGCGCGAAACGAACTTGCCTCGGCCACTGGGAAGCCTGTGCCCTTGGGCCGGCCAGGCCGCCCTCCTGCCCAGCCCCACCACCTGCCGAGTAGGGTAGGCAGCCCCGCCAGGTCTGCAGGAAGTGGGCACCCCTAGCACTGAGAGCCCAAAAGCACGCCGCCCCGCGCAGGCCTCCGCCTCCAGCCGCCCACCGGGCGTGGAGCCACCTGGCGGTGTATCGTCCCACACAGAACCTCTACAACCAGACCGCAGAGGCGCTGGACCAGATGATGCAGACCTTCATCACACAGAACCCCACGGCCGAGGAGCTGCACTTCCTGCTGTCGGTGAGGGGGGGCGCTGTGCGGGGCGGCACCGGCAGGGCTGGGTCCGAGGGTGAGCGAGGAGGATGGCCCTGAGGAGACAAGGTGGACCCCGCTCCTGAGCCTGGCTCATAAACCTGCTCCTTGCCAGGGGGCGGGGCCTGAGGCTTTGTTTTGCTTCCTGTGACTTTGGTTTTTGCTCTCTTTGATCCCTAGGCATATATATTTGATACTGAAGGCATATATATTTTTTTAAATCTTGAAACAAATAAGCAAACAAAAAAACATGACAACAGCACATAACTCCTGCCCTCCCTCCCCAATATGGGATTAGTGCCTGCGGGACCGGGCGCAGGCTGGCTTAGTGTGCGGGTGTAAACGCTGTGTGAACCTCTCCTGGTTTCAACATTTGAAGTGAGGCTGTGGTGGGCGGGGCCTGCGGCAGGGCGGAGCCGGGCCGGAGTTGGGTCCCGGGCTGCAGCACTTTCCTTGCCCGCCCCAACCACAGCATCTGTATGTGTGGCTGGCGTCGGAGAAGGCGCACGAGCGGCAGCGGGCTGTGAAGAGCTGCATGAGCCTCCTCAGATTCCTGAGCAATAACCTCTACCTGGACGTGAGTACCTGGCCCCACGCCCCACCGCCTCTGCCTTCCCAGCCAAACCGGCCCCTCCCAGAGCCTGCCAGAGCTCTCAGGGTTCAAGCGCCCTGTGCCCTGCCACCCACACGGGGTGGATCCCTGAGTGCCCTGCGGTGGCCAGGGAGACCCCTCTTTTCATAGGAGGAAGCAGGCTGGGGGGGGGGGGCAGGATTAAGGACTCTGAAGTCCGCCTGGCTGCGCCCTGGTCCAAGCCCCTGGAAGCCCCACCCTGAGTTGAGTTTCTTCCCTGGAGAGACACAGCGGGGATCGGATGGAGTGGGGGCCGCTAAGGGCTCCTGAGGTGTGCGGCTTGCCCCGGACGAGGCTTAGCAGTTACTGCCCGGGGCACCCCCATCCCACGCCCTCCATCCATCACAACCCCCATCACTTCCTGGGTCCCAGCTGAACCCCCAGCTGTGGCGCTGGCCCCCGGGTTGAATGGACAGCAGCCCGTGTTCAGGGAGTGAGTTGTACTTGGTCTATCAGCCAAAATCAGCACTAACTCCTTAGGGAGCCTCGCGGGGAGATAAGGAAATTAGTTCCTGGGCCTGATGCCTGGAGGGCGCCTTCTCGGAAGGCGGGGTGCTGGGCCTGGCCTTGGGGAGCAGGGTGGGCTCTGCCGGGAGCTCAGTGCGTAGACTCCACCAGCTCCCCATGCAGAGGAGGAAGACCCCTCCAGATGGGTTCAAAGTGGCTTCAATTTACTCAAAATCAGTTTCCACAGCGCGGAACGGAGACGGGGTGAGGCGAGCTCGCCTGCGGCGCCACACTCTGGGGGCACCACACTCTGGGGGCGCCAAACACTGCAGCCAAGATCAGTAACATGTAGACGCGATATTTTAAATGACCGCCTCCGCACACGGTGGCCCTGCTGCCTGCACCCAGGTCTCGGTTCCAGTGAGACCAGTGAGGTGCCCTCAGGGGAGCGGAGAGTCCCTCGCTGTCTGTGTTTACAGTTTTGAAGCTTATTTCCGGATGGGGTTTTCCTGGTCACGCTGATTTTTCTAAATAGCGCGTGAAATGTGATTTCTCTTGCTTTCTGCGTGTGTGGGCGACCCCTTAAAGTTCACTCCAGCTGAGTCCCAGCCCGGCCACATGCCTGGAGGCGCCCGATCCTGGTGCTGGGGTGAGGGCGGGGCAGGGGGCTCCGTGGGTGGGTTCTGCCATCAGTCCCCACTCTCCCCACAGCCGAAAGAGGACTTCAAGCGGCTCGGGCAGCTGGTGGGCATGCTGGGGATTCTGTGCCAGGACCCCGACCAGGCCACCCAGCACTCCAGCCTGGAGGGCCTGGGCCACCTCCACCAACTCCTGGTGCACCAGAGAGGTGAGCTCCTGCCAGCCAGCACCGTGGGCCACCTCACCACGGGCCACGGCCACCTCGCCACGCCTCTGCTGATGCCGCACCCCTGAGCTCAGCTCCCCCCAGCCTGCCCCAAACCTACCTCTAACCCCACAGAGGCCGCCGGAACCTCTCTGCGTCCCATCCCCAAAGTTGGACCCAGCCCTGACCCTGCCTACCAGCGACCCTAACCCCTGCCTGTCCCAGCCTAATCCCCAAGCCCGCCCTTGCCCGGCACTCACCCCGCCCACTGCCCCCCGGCCTGCAGGGGCTGCGCTGGTGAAGGAGCCAGTCCCCAAGAAGCTGGCCCCCGCCGGCCAGGACGAGGCCCTGCTCTGGAGCAGCGGAGACCAGAAGGCCGCACCCCCCGCGCCCCGGGCGGTGGCGTTCCCAAAGGACCAGCTCTTCCAGCTGAGCAGCCACCAAGTCACCAAGGTCAAGGCCCTGAGAATCGTGGGCAGGTCCGGGTGGGGGACCGTGGCCATGCTCTCCTCCCACCCCCACTGTCGACCCCTCTGAGGAGGTGCCGGTTCCGGCTGCTGGCGTGGCCTGGCTGGACCCAGGAGTCAGCACCTGGGCCAGGGCATGAGTATTAAACCTAGGCCAGGATCTCATCTGCGTCTCTGGTGGTTAACTGAGAGCTTTGGGGGAGCCCTGGCCGCTGGCCTGGCCTGGGGAGAGGCGGGGGTGGAGGGAGGAGCTGGGCACAGACGCCTTGGACAAGCCCCTCCTCTCTGAGCCTCAGTCTTCCTCTGTGAAATGGGCGGAGTGGTGTCGGTGGCACCCCAGCCTCCATGAGCGCCCAACAAATGGTGCCCGCGGGGCGGCTGGCCGGGGAGGTGTTCTCTGAGGCACCCCACCACCTCCTGCCCTGGCGGTGGTTCCCGCAGGCGCGCACTGGGCAGGAGCGGGCCCGCCCTTCTCATCTTCGCAGGCGCCTTTCTTAGCCTTCGAAAGGCCCGCCCTCCGAAGCCAGTCCCGTCTCCCCCCCCGCCCCCTGCCACCTGCTGTCCCTCGGCCAGACCCTCCGTGGCCAATGGCTGGGAGGAGGCCAGTGTGCGCCCACGTCCCTCTCACCACCGTGAAACCCGTGTGTTTGCGACACTTCGCGTCTGATTTGAGCTGCACTCCCCGCTGCAGATGCGCGGGGCCGAGCGGGCGTGTCTGGGCTGGCGTGGACGGGTGTTGCGTGGAGCCTCGTGTTCTGACTGAGCCGCCCGTGGTGTCTCTGACACGCGACCTCGGCTCGCCCGTTCTTGGTGTTGACCCTGTGCTCAGTGTGCTGGCCAGGCTCCCCCGTTAGACCGCGCGCACCCCAACCCTGACGCGGGGCTCAGCAGGGCCTGATGGGAGAGCCAGCCTTCCGCACACGCCACTCGGTTGAACCAAATGCTGAAGAAGTGGTCGGGGCCCGCGGGTTCTGAGTCTGGTCCTGGCTGATCCCAGAGCCCAGCGTTCTGCGGCGCCGCGAGCTGTCAGTGAGGCCGTCGGAAGTTCCGTGCGGAAGACCTGAAGTCCTGAGGTCCAGGGCCAGAGCGGAAAAACCTGGGTTGGCTTCCGTTTATGCCCAAAAGCCTGGGCCGGGGCAGAGGCAGAGCAGGAAGGGCGGGGAGCAGTGGGGACCGTGGGGAAGGGCCCTGAGCACCAGGCCCTCAGGTGGACGAGCTACCAGGACTGGGCAGGGGCGGCCTCCCACTCTGCACTGTCCCTGAACACAGCGGGTCCTCAGCTCTGGCTCTGCCTTGGACAGACAGGAGCACAGAGGGAGAGGTGGGGGGTCGGCTAATCCAGGGATGGTAGGTCGTTTGGAGAACAGGCCTTGGCTGTAGTCCCAAGTTCTGATTCCTCAGGTGGTCTGTATACACTACAGCTTTATCACTAGCACCACATTCATCACCACTATCACCACCACCACCCCATCCTCACTACCATCATCACCATTATCATCACCATCACCACCTTGGAGCTTCACAAAGTCCTGTGAGGTAAGTATTATCGCTCTGAGAGGTTTAGTGACTATCTCAAACTCACAAAGCAAATCAGAGCCTGAATCATATCTAGATCTCCTGTCTCTAGAGCCATATGGCCTCTCTTTTAAAGGAGCAGGTTGAAATCAGAACATCCAGGAGTTTACATAAACACAGAATGTCCAGGCAGGAAGAGGCTTTAGCAATCTTTGCATGTTCTTCCCTTTTTCACTGACAGGAAATCTGAGGCCTAAAGGGAGGAAGTGCCCTGCCACACCCCACCAGAAAGCGAAGTGTAATAAATCAGGGCATGCCTGTAATCACACCAGCTTCCTATGGATTCAACAGGTATTTCTCACCTCTTCCTTAGGGCTACCTCCTTAAAGCAACCTGCCTCCCTCAGTCCTGTTGATTTCACTCTCATACCTTGGCTGGGTCTTTGGGCCTGGGAGGCACATCATAGTGTCCAGCACAAGCAAGGGGTAGGGACTAGGGTAAGGCAGGTCTCATTAGAGTCATAACAAGTGTCTCCTTAAACTTGTGCTGTGGCTGCCTTGTTTGCCTCCCCCTTGTCCTAACTAGCACCTCCCTGTTAGAAAAAATAAATTCTTTCTAGGGAATATCAACCTTATAGGTTGATATAGTAAGATTCTCTATAAAGTACCTGGTACATGGTAGATTCTTAATAATTGAGAGCAGCTACTATAATCACCACCACCACCACCACCACCACCACCACCATCACCATCATCAGCATCACCACCACCACCGTCACCCTGTCATCTCCACCATCGCCAATGCCCCACCACTAAGCCTCCATCACTGCCACCCCCTCACGTTCTCATGCTCTGGGTGTTGACCTTCCTGAGCCGGCAGGCCTCGAGGACTCTGGGTACCTAACCACCATTCCAAGTTGAATTCCTTCCAAAACCTTCTACATTCTAGAACTTTAACCAAAAGTTGACATTTTAGAAAACAATTTAACCTTCTAACAAATGTTCTAACCAGATTTGTAACAGCCTAATATTCCTTTTTAAAAGTTAGTATAAACTACAAATATTTCACTGAAATGATTTTAACGTTCTAACAACTAATCGCCTAACATTCTCACAAAGATTTCACTAAAATTTTAGAATAATAAGATTCTAATAGCCCTGACCGGTGTGGCTCAGTGGATAGAGCATCTGCCTGCAGACTGAAGGGTCCCAGGTTTGATTCCAGTCAAGGGCATGTACCGTGGTTGCGGGCACGTCCCCAGTAGAGGGTGTGCAGGAGACAGCAGATCGATGTTTCTCTCTGATCGATGTTTCTAGCTCTCTATCCCTCTTCCTTCCTCTCCGTAGGAGGTCAATAAAAATATATTTTAAAAAAAGATTCTAATAAGTATTCTGACATCCACTATGGACCCGGAGGAGTGGGCTCAGGAGTGTGGAGCTGCTCATAGACTGAGGCGCCTGGAGCAGGGGAGAAGGGGTACGAGCCTAGGCTGGACGTGGCGCCGGGGCAGGGGCCCCCGCAGTGACGCTGCCTCCCCTCCTGCCGCCACAGGAGGTCATGAAGCTTCTCACGCAGGCAGAGCTGACCGACCTCATCTGGACGGCCATCGAAGGCCTGGGCTCCACCAGCCCCTTCCGCGTGCAGGCGGCCGCCCGCGTGCTGCTCACTGCCGTCCAGGAGCACGGGCCCAAGCTGGAGACTGTGAGGGCGGCAGAGACCCGGCGGGCAGAGGGGTGGCCAGTCACACCCAAGGGCTGGGGCCTCTGGGCCAAGGCGTGGACCTGAGCTTGAGCCTGTGGGGGAGACACAGACCCCCCACCCTGAGAGGTTCCGACGGGGGAGAGAAGGAGGGGATGCCCCAGCAGGTGTGCTGGGCCCAGTGGTGGGCACAGGGGCAAGCAGCAGACAGGCGCAGCGTGAGCGGTAGGTGGGGCTGGGGAAGAGGAGGCACGGCCAGGGGACCCCACATCTCAGAGACCTGGTGCGCAGACCCGGGCCGATGAGCCAGGACAGCACGGGTCATGCAAAGGGAGGGAATGTGCCTGGCGGGCAGCGCCCCGAAGGAGGGTGACAAATGCCAGGTCCTGGGTCTGGGCGTGGACAGGTGAGGGAGGGCACCCCAGGCACAGGGAACCGCGTCGGCCCCAGCGGCGCCATCAGGAGGTGACGAGGTGGGTGAGCCTGACTCCTCCAGGGAATGGGCAACGTTTAGACGGAGTCAAAGGTCTCAGTACCCTCGAAAGGCAGTGGGACTCTCCCTCTCAGGTGGGGACTCCCCTTCTGACCCTGTGTCCAGGCAGGGCCGCGCCTCCTCCCTCAGACCACCCTGGGCAAGCCGGTGTCTCCCCATCAGGCTCAAGCTCAGGGCCACTCAGGAGAGTTCCACGCTCACCAGGGCGGGGCCTCCGTCCCCCTAGGCTCCCCAGAACGGGCCTGGCCCCCCGGCTCAGACCGGCCCTCTCCCCCACACCCCTCCCGCGCAGGTTGCCAGCCTGGGCCAGGCCATCCACCTGCAGCTCTGCTCCGTCCGCATCCCCCAAGCCAAGGAGGATGCGCTGCAGGCCATCACCCTGCTGGCCCGGAACCACACCCCCGAGCTGGTGGCCGCCTTCCTGGACTTCTCCGTCACCCTGGACAGGTGCCCGGCCCCCCTTCCCTCACGACCCCCGCCCCACCCTCCGGCCTCCCCCAGCCAGGGAGAGTCTGCTGACCTGCTCCTGGATCGCACGCCTCCTGGGGCGGGCCCTGCGGAGGCCCTGCTCGCCTTGCATTCTATCCGAGCCCCACCGGAAACACCCTGCCCGGCCTCGACCCCGTCACTGTGCAGAGAGGGGTCCTGACGACCCCCCACCACACCAGAGCCTCCTTCCTCCTACTCCTCCAAGGACCCCCTTCTCCTACCTGCCCCCCTCCCAGGGGCCACCACAGGCCTCCAAGCCAAGTCCGGAGGTGGCTGGGGTCCTCCTCCTCCCTCACATCCCAGCTCTGACTCCCACCCACCACGCTCCTGCCGCGGGGCCTGGAGACGTGGTTCCTGGGCACACACACCTCGCTCCCTCCCCCACCTGGATCTGGCCCGCACCGGTTGTGGTCGCATCATTATCCGGTCCCTTGGCTGCCGTGTCCGCTCACTCAGCTGGTGACACTCATCTCCTGACAGGTCCCTCCAGGAGGGCGCCTGGCGTCGGACCGCCCAGGTTCCTTGTGTTGGAGGTTGTGCGCGTGGCGGACGGCTGGTCTGGGTATAAAACCCTCGGCTCGCGCTTTCCTTCAGGAGGTGTCCTCCGGGCTGCCCGGTTGCAGCCCCGCTTTGTCTTTGAAGAGTCTGATGACAAAGGCTTGTTTGCCCGTTTTTTGCAGATTCCCCCTTGGTCTTTGAAATGTAACAGTCACACTAAGGAGTGTCTCCGGTTGGTGATGAGTCCTCCCGGGTCCTCGCTTGCGTGGGGCTAAGTATTTTTGTTGTTGCTGTTGTTTCTGAAAAGTCCTCGTGGCTGTCGCTTTAAATATCCGTTTGTTCCGAGGCTGCTTTGCTTCTTCAGAGCCCGGGGACTCGGGCTGTTCCCTCCTCACCCGCTTTCTCTCCCAGCGCCTTCCCGCGGGCCTGCTGGATCCCCCTTACGCTCACTTCATTCTCTCGATCGTTTTTACGGCTTTTCCTCCAGGCCCTTTATTCCGTTTTCACTTGAGTCTTAGCACTCTTGTCTTGTGGGGTTTTTTTAATATGTTTTTTTTTTATTTTAGGGAGAGAGGAAGGGAGAGGGATAGAGAGATCGGCTGCACGCAACCTCCTGGTTCGTAGGTCAGAGCTCAACCACGGAGCCACGCCGCTGGGCAATCAGGCATCTCTTAAAAGCGCAAGGCTGGGTTTTATGTTCTGAGCGAGCGTTGCCATTCCCTCCTCTCTCTCCCGAACTCCACCAGCTCTCGCCTCCTGTCTTTCCAGAGGCGTGTGTGTCTTTGCATTTACAGTCCGGGCGAACGGTCCTGTGTAGGCGCTGGCGGAGCGCGTGGGACTGCCCTGGAGTCACCTGACGCCGCTGCTGCCTCCGGTGGTTTCAGGGGAGGGTCCCTCCCTCGGTGTTGAGTTTGTCTCTGACTCCTGTGCGGTCAGATGGATCGTAACTCGGTTCCTGTCGGCAGGAAACCCTGCGGGCCTCTCTAGGACTTCACATTCAGCGGCACCCTCTGCCGTCAGCACGGAAACCCAGCCCGCTCAGGCCGGTTCTTGGTTTGGCGGCAGGTGAAGGGTCACGTGACCTCCAGTGTTCTGGGTTCTTTTCTTTTTCAGGCCCTTAAATGTCTCCCTTTTGTGTCTGAAGCCTCCCGACTGCCCCCCTCACCATTGGGCCCCCCTCACCACCAGGCCCCCCTCACAGTGGAAGAGGTTATTTCAGCCCATCTCCCCCCTCATCACACGGCTGAGCACCGCTGTGATCGCACACACACACACACACTCACACGCACACACGCACACACACGCATGCACACACGCACGCGCGCACGCACACACGCGCACACACGTACGCGCGCGCGCACACACACTCACACACGCGCACACACACACGCTGACTGAGTGACGGACGCCCACAGGGACAGAATAGAAAGCTTGGACCTGGGCACCTCGCTCCTCACTTAAACCCCTGGCGGCAGGTTTTGCCCCCAAAGAGAGGACGTGGTCGGCTCAAGGTCACAGCCAGCTCGGGGCCGAGGGGATTTGAGTCCGGCCCTCCTGACTCCAAAGGCCCCACCTGTCCAGAGGGGCAGTGACCACAGCCTCCCGGAGTCCTCTGAGCTTTGTGCCCACCAAGCCCGGGGGCAGATGGCGCAGGTGGCTTCCCAGGCTCAAGGTGGCCTTCCTGGGGTCTGTGTTAAATCCGGGGTGGAGCTCACTCCGCCCGCCCACTGTGGCCCTCCCACCCTGACCCACTGTTCCAGAGTCCCTCCTGCCCTCCAGCCCCTCCCCTCAGGCCCCAAGACCACCTCGCCCAGAAAACAGGGCCCTCAGAGTCGCCTACATCTCGGGAGCCCCAACGCCCCCTGACTCCCCCAGATCTCACAGAACCATGACCTTGGACCTGGCGGAAAGGGCACAGGACCATGCAGGCCTGGCCCCCAGTCCAGCTTCCCAGTTCCAAGGAGAGCCCTGACCAGAGCACATCCTTTCTCTCTTGTCCTCTGTTTCCCCATCTGCAGAATGGGCCCAGGGACACTGCAAAGCTCTGCCAGCCAGTCACGGCCCCTCACTTGACTCAGGTTGGGCCCCGGGGAGCTGGACCCCAGCAAGCCCAGGCCTAGGAGGAGGGAGCCAGGCAGGCTTCCAGGAGGAGGCGACTGCTGGCGAGGCAGTGGAAGTAGGCCAGTGAGAAGGGGTGCTCCAAGCACAAGGAATGATAGCATCTGTGGAGGCCCAGAGGCAGGAGAGGAGGGAGGACAGGCAGGGGCTGGAGGTCAGAGGGCAGGGGCCAGAGGGTGGTGGCTCTGAGTGCCAGCTGGACGTGCCCTGCCGGTACTCGGGAGCCGTGGAAGGTGGCAGTCAGTCTGCAGCTGGGGTGACAGGGCTGGAGATGGGGAGACCCACGAACAGGGGCCTGGGGCATCGCCCACGGCCCCCGGCCACGCCTCTCCAGGCACCTGAGGCCTCGGTCACGGCACGCTGGCTGGCCAAGCCCTCACGGTGCCTCTCTGCCCACAGCCACGCCTTCCAGCTGTGGCGGGCCCTGGGGGGCGGGCGGGCGGGGAGCCGCCTGG